TTTCGTTCGTCGAGAGAAGACTTTACTTTTCAATTGCCTACTCAGCTGTTGTAAAAGTGATTCTGCGCTGGAAGTCACGCGTTAAGGTATCACCATGTCTGAAACCTCGTTTGAGGTCCTTCTCGATCTTGACGGAGCTTTCGGTGACACGAAATTACAGTCCAAGTCATGTTCTTCAATTGCCGGCCCAAAAAAGTCGCTTATCCTACGAGCATATCGCACCAGATTGATAGTGACAGTTTCGCTGTTGTCGTTTACAGAGAAGTAAGGCACAATCACGCATGCAGACAAACGAGCGCAGCAGATGGTCAGTTTTTCGGGTATAATGACTTTGGGCTTGCCTCTCTTTGTATCTTTTCCATATGCTTGACTTCGTACTTCTTTTTTATTATTGGTCACCAAACCACATTGTTGAATATCCACCTGCCCTCCACCATTCTTTAACATGTGTAAGGAGCAATTGCGGCCTTCTTCTAGCTTCTCTGCCAAATTAGGTTTTCATGAGAGTTTCTTGTCCAGTCTTAATCGCAGGTAGCTTGCTTTTTCCTCTCTTCATTGCATGTACAGTTACAAACTTATTAATTTGGGTCTGTAGATAAATTTCTTATTCTTTTACGGGTACGGGCAGGGTGGTTAGTACTCCTGCCGTACTGTCATCAAACAAACAGTGAAGGTTTTCGCGACTTGGCTTCCACGACACTGTCAAGTCGTCTATAATTTCCTATGTCTAGGAACCAGCATTAACCCAATAATAATGTTAGGTTTGATATCCAACGCAGCTTAACTCTAGCCAACGCCAGATACAGTTCATTGAAGCCATAAAGAAATTGCTAAATTGCTAATGGATGACTTTTTACTAGTCCAATAAACTTGCAACAAAAAAAACAAAGAAAACAAAGAAAAACACAATTGATTTTCTTTTTCTTTGAGACATATGTATGTATGTGTTTCATTTTTATTGATTGTTATTAATTAGCCATTAAAATGTATTATTACATATTTATTGTTGTATTCTTTTACAATATTAGCAATATTATGAACATATGCACTGGTCAACTTTGTTTGGTTTTAATGGTTTAATATTTAATTTTTTTTTCTTTATCAATTTTTTTGCTTCTATTTTAATTCATTTGACATACATATATTTGTTTCTTTAATAATAAATTACAATGGGATTAATTGTGGAATTCTTATTTACTTAGCAATTACTATGTTTAAATGTTTTACGCTTAATTAAATACTAAACATATTCGTACATATGTATGTATGTGTGCTAAATTTTACGTTCATATGTTGTAATGTTTATATGTATGTTTGTATGTATGTGTATTTCTATTGGTATGTACAAATCATAATGCGAAACGTAACTGTTTTATCGGCTGTATATACATGTATATTTTATGTTTTTATGCTCTTATTAATTATATATAATATATGTATGTATATTTATAAATAAATGCACATATAATAAAATTTTTTAATTTGAACATTTATAATTTTTTTGAATTTTTAATTATTTTATTATTATAAAAAATTTACAAAATTGCTTTTTTATTATTTAAATCATCTAATTGAACATAGAAAAAAATAAACTGCAAATATTAATTTATATTCATTATTTTTACTGACAATTTTTTTTTTTTTTAATTTTTTTCTAACGATTTTTTGAAACTTTTTACACACAGAAATGCATTGAATGGCACACAGTATTTTACTTCAGTAGATTTGCCTTTTCAGTTTATTTGCTTTAAATACATTTATTTTAATTACAGCTATTATTTACAGTATGTTTTTATCATTATTATTATTATTATTATTATTATTGGTAATTAATTAAATTTAGTTCGCTTGAGTTTAGCGCATTTATTTGGTTTCCTTCTCTTTGTTTTTTTTTCATCTTCTTTCTATTCAAATGCCTTCTCTCAAAGCATTTACACATATATGTACATAATTATTAGATTGCCGATAAGGGCTGAAATATTTCGATTTTGCGAAAGGAGTGTGTTATTGTGAAAATTTTAATATATACGTATGTATGTATGTACATATATATAAAGTCTAACGTCGGCAGTAATAGACATTTCTTCATTCAAATTCCACACTTTTGCATTCTTTGATTTTATGTTGCACATTTATCTTTGATTTATGTATGTATGTATATTTGTATTAGTAATTTAAATTTTTTTTCACTTAGAATTGAAAGTTTTTGTCTGATGTTTTGTTTTTGATTTCGGTTCCTTCGTCTAATAACACACAAAATGTCAAGATGTAAATATAAATAATATTTAATGAGTTTTGAATTTAATTTTAATTAAATTTAGAATTCAATTTTTTTCATTAATAATTACTTTTATTTCATTTTTTATTTATTTTTTTTAATTTTATTTTTTATTAATTTAATTTAAAATTTTATACTTTATTTAATGTAATTTAGATCATTTTTATTATAATTTATTTATTTTATCTTATTGAAATAATTAAATTATTTAAACTATTTATTTTACTTTGTTATTTATTTAATTTATTGTATTTCTTTTTTTTAATTTATTTATTTTACTTTACTATCATATTTCATTTTCATTTTCTATTTTCTTTCATAAAATTATTTAATTTGTTTTATATATTTCATTTAAAATAATTTTTTATTTTTTTTTTATATTTAATTTATTTATTTTTCTTTTATTTTATATTTTAATTTTTTTTTTTAATTTTATTTTAGTAGTTATATTTTTTGGGGCAAGAGGCCATGTGCAGAAGTTCACGCAAGGGAAGAAAGTTTCTGACTGCCATTTACCTGGGAATGGCCAGGAACGAATTTTTTGCATGCAGCTCACGACTTCCGAACTTAGACTAAGTATCATCTGGGTAGCCAAAAAACATACGTTTTGAGGCGAGCTAAGGTGAGAAGGCGAATCTCATGCGGTTGTGCGTAGGCCCAAATGAAAAACCGAAAGATAGAATGAAAGATCAAAAGTAAAACTCCAACTTCTCCAGCCTGCTGAATGGCAGTCAAAATGAAACACCCGGAAATGGTGAACCCGAAACTCTACTTGATGACGATGGAAAAACTGATTCATTACCCGACTATGAAGAAATCCGAATAGCAATCGGACAAGAACAAGCGTGCGGCGGAGGCCGATGGATTATCGTACGAGATATTCAAATACGGGGGTGAAGAACTGATCAGGTGCATGCATCAGCTTCGAATGAAAGCATGGCTTACGAACCACAAAAAAGGCAATCCCACAGTCTGCGCCAATTACCGTGCCTTCTTAACATCGCATATCCAGTTGTCTCAATCAATTGGACCTTATCAGTGTAGCTTTAGGCCTGATAAGTTAACCATTGACCAGATATTCACCATGCGCGGAAAACTTGGAAAGGACCCGTCGAACCGTAAAGCTGCCTGTACGCCAGTATGTCCGAATTCGGTATCCCCGCAAAACTTATACGGCTCTCTAAACTGACGTTAAGCAAACCTAAAAGCTCCGACAGGAACCACAAGAACCCCTCCAAGCCGTTCGATACTAAACGATGTTTCAGGCAGGGTGATTTCTTATCGACTGACTTTAAGTTATTGCTATAACTGCAGAGATGAATAGAAAAGGTACCATCTTCTATAAGAGCGTACAGCTGCTGGCGTACGCCGATGATATTGATATTATTGCCCACAACAACCGCACCGTTAGATCTGTTTTCTCAAGACTTCATAAAGAAGCGAAGCAAATGGGTCTGGTAGTGAACAAGGACAAGGCAAAATATCTCCTGTCATCAAAGAAAGAAAAGTAATTGCACTTGCGACTTGCCTCCCACGTCGCTGTTGACAGTCATAACTTTGAAATCGTCATAACTGGAAATCCAAAGCAGAATCACTCTCGCCAAAAAGTACTACTTTGTATTTGACTTGGCAATTGAAAAGTAAAGTCCTCTCGTGCGTGGACTATATCATTATTTGATCAGTCGGCTCTAGTAACTTCGAGTGGAAAAGTTCTGCGAAAAATTTATAGTCCTTTGCACATTGGCAACAATATGGTTGTTTTTCCTTTATTTTATTTTAGCTCATTTTATTTTAATTTATTCCTTTTTAATTAATTGTTTATATTTATTTTGTTTAATTTTTTTCATTTCATTTCACTTCGAATTTTTTGATTTACAGTATTTTATTTCGGTCTTTGTGATTACATATATTATTTTAATTATTTTATTTTATTTTGTTTTATTTTATTTTATTTTATTTTTTTTTTTTATTTTATTTTATTTTTTTTTATTTTATTTTATTTTATTTTATTTTATTTTATTTTATTTTATTTTATTTTATTTAATTTTATTTTAGTTTATTTTATTTTATATTATTTTATTTCATTTTATTTTGTTTTATTTTATTTGATTTCTTTAGAAAACCATTGGCCGTTAATATTAAATTTTTAACAGATAAGAATAATGTTTAGTACTGTTTAAGATTAAAATAAACGTTAACTATGAGCTCGTGCGGCTTTAACATTCAAAACTTTTTTGGTGCCGAACGAAACAAAATCGTTTCGTTAATACAAAGAGCGGAGTTTATGTTACTTGCAGTTCAGCTCAAGTGCTTTTAAAAGGACAAAACGTACAGTTCGGAAATATTTTCTTCGATAATCATGTATTCGGTTGTTTATATAAAAACCCCCTTCATCTGAACTTTAAAAAATTTATTGTTATTTGTGGAATAATATTTCCAATATTTAAAAAAAAAAACATATAAAAACTTACTATTTTTAGATGACTTTTTCTAGACGACTTTTTCGCTTTCTTCATAAAAACTTTCGTTTTAATTGGTACAGATTTTGATTGGCAGTTACACATTATTTTGTCTTCTTAGCTATTCTAACAGTAATAAATAAATAAATGTTGTAATAATTTCTGTTAGTTTCAGTGTCTGATGTTATTTTGTCTAAAATTTTTGGTATTTGCGATTGCTTGAGAATTTTTATTGTTTTTATTTATTTATTTTTTAAATATTATTTTTTTCGTTTTAATAGTTTGCTTTAGTAGTACGTGTACATCGTATTCATGTACATACATTAAATGCAATTTTTGGTGGTGTTTGAAAAATATTTTTTCTTGTTTTTTTTTTTTTTTTGCTTTTGTTGTGCCTAAATGCATTTTCGCTGCAAATAATTATTTGTTTATAAGTTTTGTAAATTTTTGTGGTTATTGCCAAAGCATAAAAGTGCTGATAAAGATCATTTCTTATTTAATTAGTGTAGTTTTCAGTTTTTATGTAATTTCATATAAGTCATTTATAATAAACACTTAGCTATTAGATATTACAGTGAGAGTTTTTATGCAGCAATTTTTGTTATGAATAATTTTCCACAATCATTTCAATAATTTAATTAATATTCTTATTTATTTACTTTTTTTTCAATTGTATTGCTTTGCATATTCATTCTTATGTTGAATATTAACTTGTTTACTTTAATCTACACCGCTGTTTTCTTTTTGGTATTTTTCCCATTTTAAATGCTTAAGATATGTGCCTACGACCCATTTAACTATGCCACTTAACATAACCTAAAAAAATAAATTACTTAAAACTAACTAATATAGAATATCTATTTATTTATACACAAGTACAACTGGTAATAATATTTCACTTAGATGTATGTATGTATGTAAAGAACACACAAGTTTTTAAAATTATTATTAAATTTAAAAATAAAAATTTTAAATGTAAATATTTACAAAAGCAATAATCAGTGGTGATCTATCACTGATCTACCGCTACTTACATACAGTGCTCTTCTTTAGCTGCAATAAGCGCTCTCGCTTTGGGGATCACTCGCTCTCACTGTGTCTTAACTTGCTCCCATTGTTTTGTATTTTCACTCGTTCTCCCTTGGCCGCGACTCACTCTCACTGCGCCTTCACTCTCTCTGCTTGCAGCGTCCTTTATTCATCCTTACTCAGAAATAATCCATTTTGGGCGCCACCAAAGCGGTGTGTAAGGTGAGTGTTACACCGCGATTGATGCTTACTGCCGGATAGAAGACCCCATAGAGATCACGGAAAGCTACAGAACCTTGGGGCATTTCATTCACAAGGAAACTCAGTGTATGCCGCTCCAGATCGAGCAGTACACCGATGGTGCTGCCAGTTGTTATACCGCCCTCGACGCGTCGCTCATGCACGGAATTGTGTTGGAACCACGAGCGTTGGCCATCAATGTACATGGCAAAGGATTTTTCGTCTTTACCTGGAATGAATGTGTACAAGTTTCCCAAAATATTAGATAACCAAGATCAAGAAATGCAGAAATATTAATTACTGAAACTCCATTTTTTGTTACCAAAGAATTACATAAGTGAGTATTAAATATACCACGATCGGTGAACATGAGCAGAGTATAATTTTGATCGTGATATTCACTGTCGTAGAGAACATATCATAAGGTTTTGAGGTGAGGACCCTTTAAAAAAAAAAGTATATAGTCTCACAAATATAAGATTTTGAGATGAGTTTTTGCAGCCATTCATCTGGCAGTCATCAGAAAGAATTTTTACGTGGGTCCAAGTAGCCAGTCTTACTACTATGGGCAATCAACAGAAACAAGTGTTTTGAGACGATCTCCTTGTCCTCACTCTCTGAATAAAGAAGAACGGCATAGCCAAGCGCTAGAAGCTTAATTTTGAAAGCCGCATCCAACATGATTATGTACGCCAATTTGAACACTGGAGTGGGCAAGTAAAGTAACTCGCCGAGAAAAATCAGAAGATTCAATTCAAACCTGTTCGACTCGGACCACTTTCTTTTTACAGCGACGATAGACAACCGCCTCCTTGAAGTGTAGAAGACGTTTTTAAGGACTTAACACTGCCGAAAGCTGAGAACTCTTCGCGAGAGCGTGCTACAAAGAAGCTGCGAGTTAGTTGTTCAAATGCTCGAGCAACTCAAAAATGCTCGAACACCTATGCTGTTTCATTCAAGTCTTACATGCTCGAGGCAGGCATTAAATTCTTATTTTGGTGGTGGGCTAGGTAAGGCTGATGATACGAACCATCATCATCCGACGTACCAGACTGGCCTGGCATTAATATTTCTGGTAATCACCTTTGCGTTTTACCCGAAGATATCCCCAGTGATCTATTGAAAGTTGTTAGAGCTGAGCATATTTTTGTACAAGCGCACGAGGTGGATTGGTGACAGACGTTCACAGCAATTAGGATCCGATGCAAAAAATTAAACTCCGTAAGTCGTTTGTGTCTATGAAATAATGGATATCGTAGAGACTGGCCGTCTTCTGAGCACTTTTTCCTTTGCACCAAGAGCTAAACATTGCACAAAAAACAATTTGGAACCACTTGAAAAAGGCTAAGCACCCAAGAAGCTCTATGTATGGGTGCCACATGAATTAACGAGGAAAAGCCTTGTGAACCGAGTTTCCATCTGCGAATCACTGCTAACTCGGAACAAAATGGACTCATTTCTGAAGCGTATGGTGGCCGGTGCTGGAAAGTGGATCACTGATAACAACGTGAAATGAAAACAGTCGTGGTCTAGGGGCAGTCAACTGGCACAAACGGTCGCCAAGAAAGGGCTGATGGCTAGGAAGGTTTAGTTGTGGGTTTGGTGGGATGGGCAAGGATATGAATCTACTATGAGCCTCTACGACCAAACACTTCATTCGGACCTATATTGTGCGCAACTGTATTGTCTGCAGAAAACAAACGCACCGAAGCGCACAGCTTTTGCCCAACAGCAGGGTGAAGATTTGTGTTCTATTAGGACAACGCTAGAGCAAGAGGTTCCGAACACTTGGATTTCGTACTAAGTGATTACAGCTCTAAAACAATTCATTTATCGCCAGCTTGCAACAAAGAAAGTGGGAGATATTCAATCGGAAATATCTTCGATTGGCGCCAAACTCCAAAACAAAGCAATAAATGGCCTTCCATACCGGCGTCTACGTCAATTAAGAAGAAGCAGAATATTTTTCTCATTAACCCTGAAAAAATTGCGACAATAAACAGTTTCCCCCCCCTCACTTTTGCCTTTTGAAACCATAGTCTGCAAAANCCCCCCCCCCCCCCTTCACACGACAATAACTTTTTTCAATAATCAAAGCATTGTTTCAGGCCACGTAGCAGAGTAAACCAATAAAACCAGCACTTAACACCGGCAACTCAAAACAGAAGAGAAAAATTAAATAAAACTGTTGAAATGTAGGAATAAAAGCAAAAAAAAAAAAATAAAATATTTCAAAATGAAAACGGAGACACTACAGATAACAAAATACTTCTATGTGAGGCTGACTGCCGGCAACTGTGCGTAAGTGGCAACACCTGAAGTTCACGAGGATGCCAATGAGATGCTTGAAGAAAGAAAAAAAAACGCTAATAAGAAACTTTCGAATTTGTGGCGTCGACTAAATGAATGAAAGAAAGGATATGCACACACACATGCATACATGCATACATACATTGAAAGTAGTATATATGTAAGTAACTGTCAACTTTTCCACGCGAAGTATCTGGCGTCATTAAACATTGAGTGGCGGCAGAAAAAGTATCGCCTGAAAATTGTCTTTTTCAATTCGACTGGAAAATGTCTCAGGTAGACAACAGAAGAAAAGCAAATTGAAAATATTTATTTTCTATTTTTTTATTTTGTTTTTTTTTTTTTATATGCATACAAACTTGGCACTTTGTTGTTATAAAACAAAAAAAAAAGCAAAAAAAAAATACCACCAATATTTATTTAAGGATATTCTGCAGCACATCAACAGCAGAATGTTCTTGAACTCAAACTCTCGTTAAAACAAAACAAAAAATAAACAAAAAAACTTTAGTTCGATAAGTGAAAAATGATAATTGAAAAGCGCAAACAGAGTATGGGCATGTGAAAGTTTTCAAATTAAAGAAGATTTTGATTAAAGTAAAGTGTGCAGGATGCTGGTGTGAGAGAAGTTGGCAGTTTGTTTGTATGTAGGTGGCAAAAAACAGGTGAGCGAAAATAACTCAAAAAATAAATATTTACTTGGAAACTTCCTTCAAGGCGTAAGTTTGAAATATTGCAGAAAATAAAATTGGCTCTTGAACTTTAAGCAGTAAACCTTTATACGTCTTATCGGCAAATGTTAGTAGTTCTCAGTGGCTTAATAATCCGTGTTATGTTGAATATCGTTGTTTTTGTTGTTGTTATTGTAACCATAATATAATAAATGGAGAGACCTGCAGTTCATACTAAGCCGTCCGAACGGCTGAGAGTTTTCTTATGAGGAGCTTTCACTTCATGTCAGAAATACACTCGGAGGGGTTGACATTCGCTGCCGAGCGGCGACCGCAATTAGAAAATTTAACATAATTTTTTATTTAAATTAATTTCTAGAAGTTTTCGGATATTTGTACGACACCAGGATTGGAACCCGCGCCTTCCGAATTGCACTATGCAATGCTAACCACTTCCCAGGCATGCCTTACCGGGGGTAAACTCTTGAACCTCTAACCCGCGGTGGGGTGTTGAGTATCGTCTACGTCTTCGCTGACGTTCGTCAATGTTCATGCGATACAAGCGATACAGACGAAACGTTGGGCATTGAGAAAACGCGAAAACTCTGTGCACAGGAAATATCTTCAAGCTGTGAAGTTTGCTTAAATCAATAAAAACCGGTTTTTAAATAAAAAAAAAGTTCTTTTCTCTGTTCTTTTCAAGCTCATTCGATGAGAATAGAAAAAAAATTTAAATGTTCATCGTAGACTGTGGTGGTCGTTTGGAGAATTTGTGCTACGCGAAGTTCCGGCAATTGGCACATCATTTAACGATGGAACATCTATTCGAGAAGATTCCTCATTTGACACTTCAGGAACTCTTCCTAAATCTGTTGCTGTTAAGGCGACCCGCCTCTGATGTTGGGCAAAAATCAGGTAACGTTTGTATTTTTTGTGAGAGAATTTTAAGGCCTATGAACTTCTGGTTTTAAATATTAAATTCTTTTTATTATTTTAGATTTAATTAGGCAAATAATTAGTCGAAATTCAAAGTTACCCTTCCCATCGGTCTCTACGCGAAAAACATGGCCCAACAACGGAAAGCCTACAGCCCCTTTTAGTAGACTGAAATCAAAAATCGTTGTCATTACGTGAAGATCATGAAATTGACTATGTCCTGAACATCAACTGAAACAATTTTAACGTTAAATTTATTGCATATTGCTCATTGGAATTATAAATATTAATTTTTTGCTACTTTTTTCACTTCAATTACGTTAAAAAGAAATAAATAATTAAATTAATGAAATAAATTTAATTAAAAATACTTGTTAATGATAATCTCAGGTTCAAGATGTACAAAAAACTATTATATATACATTGAAACAGTTTTTGAATAAAGGAAATCGGATGGACAGATGAACCTCGTGACTCGAAGTTAGATCGGAATACACGGTTTCGAGAAAACACCGTTCAAAGCTTTGTGAAAGTCTCGCTGCGTGTCGTGAGACAGCTGTGTTCGTGAAGCTGCCATTTGTAAAATATACACCGCTTTGCAAAATCTTTTTAAACACTCATTCTCTACAAATATATGGCTTTCATTTTTTTGCGTAAAAAATCAATTTTTTGATTCAAAATCTGTGGAGGATCCCCTTAACGTGGCGGTGCGGTTCATTCACATCAAGTATAGCGCCAGTCGGTGCTGATTTTACAGCTCTTCGAATACCATCAAATTCGCTACAGATTCTTTGAGCGGAGTCAATGCTATCTGTGTTTTTAAGCCTCTCTCTTAACTCTTTCTTGTTGCTCCTCATTCTTTTCTTCACTTTAAATATAAAAAAAAATAGTTAAAATGATGAAATAAGAAACATTTGAATTTTTTTCATGTTTTAAAATTTCTTGTACCAATCATCATCCCGGAAAGGAGGTCCTACCACATTGATTTTTCTGCCAATAGCTTTCCCCTCCTGTGTTGAATTGATAGTGCTCTTTTGAAAAGCCTTAGCTAAATGTGACGATAATTAGCATAAGGACGAAAATTAGTTTTTTAGATATTAAAATCTGATCGTTAACTTCGTGAAAGGAAAGGTGCCAAACTGAAGAGAATACTTAGAATTTCGATACACCTTCGAGGGACAGACGAGTTTGAACCTCGGAGAAATGAGGCGTGAACATTTACCAGCCAGAGAAGCCAAATGGACAGCTAGAGGCACTTGGTAAAGTTCAGGGTGTGCAACCAAAGTATTAGGAGTCAGCGCGGCACCCATGGCTGCGTCGATCTAACACGCAGGAGAGATGGGACGACTGCACCTGGCCAGTCCCAATTTTGTTGTTTTATATGTCTAAATCCAGGTACGAAATTTTTATTTAGAGTGGTTCAGGTGAGACTAGTGGGAAGGACTCTTCCATTCGGTAAACTGGCGCAGGTTTATACCACCATGCCTGGTACCCACTTAAGCCTAAACTAACCACACCGCCACTTCACATGTGAAACGAAGCATCGCCAATTAATGCATGTTCCAATTGACGAATGTCATATTCTATCCAGTTGTGTGGCATGTGGCAACATCTTGTTGAAGCCACACATGTATGTGAAGTTGTGTTCTTCAATGGCAGACCAAAATAAGTCAGTGACAGGTCTTCAATTATTTTATTTATTCAGAGTTCTAAATGCGACAATTTTAATTATTTACGTATCCCCCGTGTGAGTACCAGTGCTTCGACGCCGAAAACATTTTGCTCGATAAATCGCCGTCCACTCATTGTTGTTCAAGCATCCAATGAGCTGGCTTCAGTTGCTGTGTGAGGTGGACTTTATATGGATTTAGGTGTGAGTTAAGGTCCAAAACAGCCTTAATGGCTATCTTGAGGACGTCGAGAGACTTACACATTCGGGGCTTTGGTTGCAGTGTGTGATGGAACGAGCAAAACGATGATCCGCAAGACCTTACAATATCTGCAGCCAAACCACTCTTATCAAATTTCTTTCAAAATTTACCAATTGCTTCAGTATTCAGCGTTTATGTGCAGCATAATCATCTCGTAAAGCACGAAATGTGGCCACGCTTCCACCTTTTCTGGATTTGGGCAAACATAAACCATTTGCTGCATAATTTTTATTGAATTCGATTAAACTTTCGATTAATGCTCGATTCTTATATGCGGGAAAAATGGTTTTTAACAGTCTGATGTTCGGAATTGAAATTTTTACCATTCAGATCGTTTTGAAAAAGAGCGAATCTCCTGGGACTAAATCTGATTATGGGGTGAATGTGCCATCAGTTCCCATTGGCGGGTGCTGTACCTAGCATTATCACAACATAACATCTTGGAATGATGAGTTCAAGAAGTTCAGTTTTATCTGGATTTGCTCTTTAACTTTCGGTAATTTACACAGTAAATTTACGAATAAATAGTTGGTCTTCTAAGAATCCGCTTGAAGTTGACTACAATTTCGCCATAATCAATTAGTGAATATTGGTTTATGATCGACTTTCAAGTAAGTTATCGTAATTGGTTAGGATTTTTTTTAATTATTCTGTTGGTTACGTTTTGGTCACACTGTCTTATTAGTTGGGAATCTTATAAATTCATCAATCAATACAAATTGCATCAGCTCAACGTAAATATGAAAAGATGTGAGAAACAGTCTTCTACCCCTCATCAGCTGCTACAGCGTTTCTGAAAAGAGCAATGTTTTGTCAGGATTCCAATTGGTTTTAGTGCCGTAGCTGTTAGAAAATCGCTTCCTACCTCTCGGCAGTTTTGCAATTTCTATATCATTTTCTGAAAAGAGCAGGCGGCATTTCTGCGTACTGTCTCATATAACAGTACAGTTTATCTGTCTCTCGAATTTTTCGCTCCAAAGTATTCCGCGCCTCCTTGGTCCCGGTCACACGATAAAAGGTCAAAAACCGTACAGACGTACAGATGACTCATTGCAACCTGCATGCCATGCAATCTCCCTATCTGACATACCACGCTTAGTAATCTCGCTGAGTACATATGGTAACGATAGCAAATGTTCTTTGGAATTTTATCGTTTTTTTTCCAGAGAATATCACCATTTCCAGTAACATGTCGGTCTAGTTGTGTTATGACACATTTTTCCCCACCTTTTAATTCGGCTTTATTTGGCTGTTCCTAACTTGGCTTCTAAGTTCGTTTATGCCTTTATGCCCAGGGACTCAAACTAGGGATAGTGCTGTTGAGGTTTTATTGCCGTTTAGTGTGTGGCGGCTGCAAGTGGTGGCATTATTTACTGTCATACTGAAGGCCAGAGTTCATGTCGTCGTTCAGACAACATCAAAAATTATCGAAAATAATTTTTTTTAATTACGGTCGCCCCTCGACAGAGAATGACAAGTTCTCCGAGTGCAATTTTGACATGAAATAAAAGCTCCTCGTATAATGTGAAGATGTTTCTCACTGAGCACTCGCCTTGTATGTATTTTACAGCTTTTGTGAGAGCAGAAATTTCCATGTGAAATGAATTGAAGTGAGCATGAGAGTTCCAAGGAATTTTGAAATAAGTAGAGAACTCCATCAACTTCACTATCAAGCCTTGTAGTATCTGTGTATTATATTCTTCGATGCTGGAATGTCACAGTGGTTTTCCGCCGTCTTTCGCTACCGGGAATCGGATAGAAAGTACAACTCTCTCAAATGCTTCACTGTCCTGTTGCATGTCAGCTTAACTTTTGAATGTTCTACCCTTAAGCAAGAGGCCGACGGCGCTGTCAATTGATGTGCAACCGAATCAAGTGGCAGGATGTCAAGGATTCCCTTTAGAGATTAATTTATTTTAGTTCAATATCAATCAAAAATATGAACGCGAAAAATAAACTTGCTTCATTTTCGAATGTTTTAAAAAATGTGAGAAAAATTAAAAAAAATTAACACTAAAGAGAGCCGTAAACAAATGTTTTTAAAATGTGTTTTTCTGCTCTTTCGATCCAGAGGAGGATACTTATTGCGGCACACTTTATTATTAATACACTTTGGATGGGACAATAAAGCGATTTAACAACTCGAAACTTCAACAGGCAACAACCGGAACAAGAGAAAGTAAAATTACTGAGCATAAAAAAGACATTAAGTGACGCAAGCTGCTCAACTGCAACAAACTTGCAACGCATTTACACTTAAAAGCAATATTCTTTTTAGATTTGCAAGTTTATGAGTGGCACTCTGCGTTGCCGCCCACTTTTTTTTTTTTTTTTTTTTTTTTTTTCACTTTTTTTTTTTTTTTTTTTTTTTTTTGTCAACACTTACCTAACATTTTGTTGCGATTGACATCGATGCGCGCCACACCAAACGCCGGATCTGTGTCCATTGTATACTTGTCCACGGTGAATTCCCAATAGTGAATGCCACGCGAGAAACCGACCGATCCTAGAGCGACACGATGCTCCCAACCCTCAACGGAGACCGTGGCGTTGTTATTGCTGAAGACCAGACCAGAACCGGCGCCACCGCTGAGTATCGGATCAAATGTGAACCAGGCAACTGTATGTGGGTGTGTGTGTTTGTGTGAAAGGGAAGAAAAAAGAAGAAATTTAATATAAGTGAAAATAGCGTTTATAAAATGAAAATATATAACTTCAAAGAGTGGTTTGGAGAAAAAGAAAGGTCTATAAATGAAAGCATTTGCAACAGTTAAGTGCAAACTTTGTGAATTGTCATAGCAACAATACTGTGCCTTTCGGTGGCGCACACTTAAAAACGCCACAAAATATGCTATAATTTTTGCACTGCCACTAACAGCAGAAGAAGCAGCAACAGTAGCAGCAATTGCTCACTTTTTATTTCCGTTCAATTCAATAATTCGATTCGTTGCATCCTCGCTGGCGTTCACTCACTTGTTGCACTATTGAAGATTTATTGGTTTTGCCACCAATTGTGGCAATTGTCATTTTATAGCTCACTTAACGTCAGACATTTACAGTTGCAACTCAAAGTTTGTGATTGGCAATTAAGTGGATTATGCGCTGCGTTTCAATAAATTATTGTTTTACACATATATAAAGCGATTTTCGACCGAGCTTCTTCTCCGATTTGCGTTATGCGTCTCGATATCTTTCTAGAGGAGAAGATTACATTTTATACTAAGCCACCTCCGAACGGAAGATGGTTCTTTTGAGGAGCATTTGATTTTTATGTGAGAAATACACTCAGAGTGGTTGACATTCGCTGCTGAGGGGCAACAGCAATTCGAAAAAATAATTTTCTGTAATTTTTGATGTTCGCCGGAACAGGACTCGAATCCTGGGCTGCCGAATTTCTTGTTGAATTCTTGAGAAGTTTCACGTAAATAAAATCCCGTCCATATTCTTCTTCCTCATTGGCTAAAGAATCACTAGCCCGATAGCCGAATCATAGCGCGGCATTCGTTCCTTCTCTACACTGTTCGCGATCACGCGTGAACCGTGTCAAGCTGTCATGTTATATTTTTCCAGTGGCATTTCATGGGTCTCTCAATGCCTCAACAACCTTTAGAAATCCTTCAACTTCATTACGTAAATTTACGTTCTGTAAAGAATGCGATTCGCTCAACTTATGTTCAACATAATCGGCCTACTGAGCGCAGTGTTCGAAACACCATCACTCGTTTTGAGACCCAGCAGTCATTGTTGGATAATATTCAATGGAATAAGCCACGTCCAGCACGAAGGGAAGAAAATATAGTGGTCGTAGCTGAGAGTATACACGAAGACCGTGCAGAGTCGACTCGACGGCTTTAGCAACAACTCGGTCGGGCGTATGAAACGACTTAGTGCATTTTAGTTCGAGATATTAACTTGAAAGCGTACAAAATACAACTTGTGCAAGAATTGAAGCCGCTCGACCTGCCCAAGTGACACCGTTTCACTCTATGTGCTCTTGAAAAGTGCCAATAAAATCCGAAGTTTTCAAGCCAAATTTTGTTTGGCAATGAGGCTCATTTCTGGCCGAATGGGTATACATTCAAAATTGCCGCATTTGAGAGGAAGAGCAATCTGAAGAGATTCAATAGCAGTCATTTCATCTAGGAAAAACAACGGTGATTTGTGGGCCGGTGGAATCGCCGGTCCATGTTTCTTCAAAAATGACGCCAGTGAGAATGTAACCCAGTTGCGACCGTTACCGCTCCATGACTCCATACTATTTGATGCCTGAAATTGAAGCTCGTGATCTCAGCGACATTTGGTTTTAACAAGACGGCGCCACTTCCCACACATCGCATCAATCAATGGATTTATTGAGAGAATACTTCGGTGAGCAGATAAATTCATGTTTTCGGCCGGTCGTTTGGCAATCAAGATACGTGTCTCTTTCCAGTCGAAATGCTCGAACAAGTCATCGAAAATTGAACACAACGGAAGAACCATCTGAGACGTAGTCGTGACCAACATTTGAAGCAGATAATCTTCAAAAAATAAATGCCAAGGAATGTTCTTTCGGATATTAATAAACATTCTCCATTGAATCAGGTTTTTGTGTGTTTTTTTCTTTAAAAAAATAGGAAACTTCGAAATAAATCACCATTAATAGGAGAGGACTGAACAGGGACTATTATAGTTTGTTTCAGTTTCAAAATTCCAACTCTGATCTATGTTAAATTTCTGGTCCGTGGTGGATTTGCAAGGTCTAAAGCTACAACAAGTCCATAGCATTTCAAATACATCATAAATAAACAGAGCTTTCGGTGAAACTTTGCCGAGAAGCCGTATATTTTTAGGTTTTGGAAGGTTTTTATTTTTCGAACCAAAAAGAAACAACTTTCCATTCAAAATTTATTTTTCCGCTTCAAAAGAGAATTTAAACGACCTTTTACTCTCACAACTCAGAGGACTTTTTATGACTATGGATTATGGGGTAGAAATTGTCTTTTTACAGGATGTCCTCAGCTCCTGTATATGTGATTGAGTTTTTGAATAAAAATACATGAATTTTGATCCAGTCGGGTGGGTAACAGAGCATTTCATGCTTAAAAATGTATTTAAAATTATACGTATTGATTCGTAAGAAGATTCACTGACCATCCCTCTCAAACTTAAATGTCAATTCTCAGCCACCATTTCCTTTAGTCTTGCGGTGATGACTTCAGTTTAGGACGATGGCTAACCAGAGAGAGGAAAATCTTTCACCGCATCTCGAGTTCCCGAGTGACAGTCGGGTCAAATTTATTATATAATATTTTTATCCATCGTAAAAATCGCCACACCCATTAGTGACAGACAACTTTGAACGCTGTAATCAAACTAAGGGACAGGATTTACTAGCCAATCCTTTTAAATGGGCTTTTTAAATAATCAATCCCTGCCTTTTTTCGTACTGCAGCAATTTTCAAATTCTTAATTAAACTGAAAAGAAATGGACAGTAAGGTGAATGTACTCTTCTACTGATACCATCAAATGTTACGCTTCTTCTTCTGTTCATTTCTCCTTTATATTCCACTTATGAATGTAAGGCTTACTTTATAGAGTTTCACGCAGATTGTGTCGACAGTTGCATATTCACAGTCTACATTTTAATATTTTTAATTTGTTACTTTTTCGCTCACTTACCTTCTGCGGTCTGTAATCCAATGAGTTCTGAATATTCACCTTCGCCTGCGTTGTTGAAGGCTTTCACTCGCGCATTGTACATCGAATTGAAGTGAAGTCCATCGACGGTGCAAATTGTTTCCTTGCCGCAATAGACCTCCTAAGAAAAGATATATAAAAATGTTTTAAAGAAAATTTGTTACAAATTTATAAGGATCTGGATCGGTAAAAACCGATTATTTTTTTTAATTATTAAAGCTAAACTAAATCACTCTCATACACTCACATACCGCTATTGTGAGGAGCATTTGAGAAAAAACATAAAATTTTTTATTTGACGATAGTCTCTACTTTGTGGAGCCCGTTCTTGACGCTTTTGTAACCTCTCCAGCGATTTTCGGCCAAGCTCCTCCTCCAATTTGTGGTTTTGTGTCTTCATGTTTTCCAACAAAATGGAGAAACCTAAAGTTTATACTAAGACACATCCGAACGGCTGAAGGTCTTTTTATGAGGAGTGTTTATTTCATGTCAATACACTCGGAGGGGTTGACATTCTTCAGGTTGGAAGGTGCCCCTCTATATGTCTGAAAAGCGTATGACTACCTGCCTTTATGCAAATCTCTCTATACACGATAACTCGATGGTTTTAAGCAAAGACGTGTGGTTTTCAATGAGGCAATCCGTATTTCGGAAATGTCGTTTTGCGCAGCTTTTACTGGATTTATACTCACTTTGGCTTGCGATGTTGTTCTGTTCATTACTCTTCGGAGCATCGCTTGCAAATAGTGCAAATTTATTACAAAAATAATGTTTCAGTTAGCGTGACGTATCGTGTTCTGCGTTTCATATTCAGCCGAAATAAGCGCAGAGCTGAATCGTTAATTCGAGCAACCATGGATCGGTTTCGCACTATGTTTACTCTAGTGGATAATGCCAAAGACGCAAATGAGTATCGAGGAAGACCCCAATGAGTCGAGCCGCCATTACACACAACAATTGGAGGTGGGGCCATCAACTTAATGGAAGATTTTGCGGGAGATCATAGATTGCGGGCTTACAAATTTGAACTCGTGTAAGAATTGAAGTCGAACAACCATCGAGCGCATGGCTTGTTCGGTGTATGGGTCCACAACGAGATGGTCACAGATCCCGCTTTTCATAAGAACATTTTGTTCACCGAAGTAGCTCACTTTTGGTTGAATGCGTAAGCTCGAAACAAAGTTTTCATATTTACATCGTCAAAAAGTCCCTTTTTGGTGTGCTCTTTATACAGAAGAAAACATTTATTTATAGTCAATGGGGAATGCTATAGAGCCATGACTAATGAGTTTTTCGTGCCTAAATAGGAGCATTCTGACGTATACGACCTTTGCTTCTAACAATCTCAATCATCATAAAGGACACCAAAGTATTAGGATTACCGAGGCCGTGCGAGTTGGTGCGAATTACAAAATTTTATTACTATTTTGTTTGAAGACCACGGCATAGTACTCCAAGAGTTCCCGCTAGAAGATCAAAGAGTCAAATGGCAGGGTCACTTTGAATCCTACGAAAAAGCAGCTGAATTGTGGATTTTATGGTTTTTTATCTCAATATAATGAGCCTGTCTACTGGTCATTCGATTAGGTCAGGTTAAACGGGCCGACTGCTGCTGCAACTTTGTCATTGTTTGCTCATAATTTTTCAACCTAAACGGCGTCTTGTGTCGATTGAGGATATAAAAACCGAACAATTGAAAGAGCTCAAGGACACGCCGAAATGTGCATTTTAGAGCTGAAATTTTAAATTTATCTTTTTTCTTAAGAAGAACTCGTCCATATAATAAATTGGAAATTATAATTCCTTCAGAGAATTTAGGGAACATTCTCTAGTTGATTTTGCGAGAGCAATGACAAATTTACATAATTTCCATATTCCAGTTTACTCACCCTAAATTCACCGCCACTGCCATCGTCCAACTCCAAAACATAACCATCGACAAAGGAATGAGCAGGTGCATGCCACGCCACCGTAACAGAATTATTCTCCGCTGAACAATCTTCCGGAACAATTGTGGGAGCTAAGGGTGCTGATCGGCGTCGAGCGTTGGGGAGAGGGAAAAAATGCGACAAAATATTTTATTAGTTTCCTTTATTACATTTGAAAAGCATTATGAATATAAACAATAAATAAATTTGGGATTTTAAAAGAGACGAAAAAAAATTAAATAAATAAAGGAATACTAAAATATAAGTAAGTAAGTATCTACATCAAACAACAACAAAAGTGCAAAAAATACTAAACAAGAATACAAGCAAATAAACTAAATGCAATTAAAAAAATTTAAAAAAAAATATTTCTTTAAAATAAAAAAACAAATTTTCAACAACAATACGATCTATAAATACAAAAAAAAAAATAAAAAAAAAAATTAAATTAAAAAATAAAAAAATAAAAATTAAATTAAAAAATAAAATAAAAATATTAAATTAGTGTAAATACGGTAGCTTGGAAAGTTAGTTTGTAGTCAATGATGTTTGCAGGTAAACTGAAATGCTGAAGGTTTTAAGCAAATAGTGGCATGAAAACAACAACAAAGTAAACTGAAAATTTTCCACGGATCCTCCCAAAGCGGATGCATTAGAACAATTGAGGGTAATGATTCGAACTTTTAAGTTTTAACCGAGCTTGAAAAGATCACGCAACTGGCTTATTTTTTAACAAATATTCATAAAACTATCCTGCTTGATTTAAACATTTGTTTAATTATGAAAAGTGAAAAAAAATAAAATAAAAAAATGAATTAATTATTTTGAACCAAGGACATATGGCTGTAAGCATAGTGAAACACGCACAGAAAGTAAACGGGCTCATCAAAAATAAAAACCTTTCAAAAAAATTAGGATTTACTTCATTCCATTTGACGTTTCAATTTTGAAAACTAACGATACTTCTAGGTCTATGGAAATTTGCATGAAGAGTACAAAAAAAAATTATTTCAAAATTGTTTCAAAAGCAGTTTTTGAAATCCTACGATAGTTCTAACTCTAGAGGAAATCGAGTGAGAAATAGGAAAAAATTTATTTCAAAATTGTTTCAAAAGCAGTTTTTGAAAAACTACGATAGTTTTAAGTCTAGAGGAAATTGAGTGAGAAATAGAAGAAAAATTATTTCAAAATTGTTTCAAAAGCTGAACATGCTTAACACGCTTCATATAATGAAAATTTTGAAGCTATTGTCGCTTTTTTTAAGAATTCTGTAAGCCGCTTAAGCTCTTAATTTTTATTTAACAAGCTACTATTGTGGTTTAGAACAGACTCAAAATTTGTACCAATCGCTTGACAAGATCTTGAGAAAAAAAGTGTTTTTTCTTGATGTTAATAAATATATAATTATTTTGAAACCCGTAAAAAATAGAGAACTGAAAGTTGTGTTATCGAAGTATTTTATTAGTGCGAACATAGGTTGAAATGATGAGTCCGATACCTTTCTGACACCAATACACGATTTTACTCAGTTTAGACTAAATTTGTACTTTAATTCAAATTTTCCAAGATTTTCAAATTTGTTTGAACGTTCATAGCAGTACTTTATGATAGATTAATTGGTGAAATTCATGTTCAACTCAAAACTGCCAACTCAAATCAACTCGCTTAGTTTCGTTGTTGCTTTTCGTTTCATTCAATAAGCAACTTGATGTTCTTCTGTAGGTTGGATGCAAGCGATTACAGCTCGTTTTCCTTAAACGAAACTGAGCAATAAAGTAAAGAAACAAAAAACCTGAGAGAAATCAAATAGGAAAAGTGTAAGAAAACAAGAAAAAATTAGAAAAATCATGAATTCAATGCGAAAAAAGTTTAAACGTTTGTTAACCTGACCAATGGCAGATTGCAGAGGCGAATCACATATGAAAAAAAAATGAAAAAAACTAACGTCCAGATATGAAGTCAAAACGTGTGTTAGCATTTTATGGTGTAAAAAATTTCCAAACTCATTCTCCCATGTGATTAGTTTACGCGAGTGTCGATGAAAGGAAAATGTTTTGTGAAAAATTGGAAAACTTCTCTTTTAAGTTGAGTTAAGCAAAAAAGAGGAAGTTAATAAATAATCGATTTTCATTGCAATCGATTGTTTTAGCTTTTTCATAACTTCTTGTATATGATCTTACCATCGAGGTTTGGTTTTTGGTAAATTGGAGGTTTCATAAATCATACATTTTAAATAAGTATTTTGTAATTAGCTCCCATTGTGCGGTTATCTGAGGCTTTTTTGAAATTCGAACTTAATTGATTTCGTGTCGATTTCCATTTCCGACTCAGACGAAACGAAAATCGATAAACGTATCGAAATTGATATATATAAACAAAAAGGAAGTCCTATTCCAACTGTAGGAAACCACTCGCTATTTTACTGTCTTCACGGTATACACTTCATTTTGAATGAAATCACAGAAAACACAAAAAGAATAGTTTTTTTATGACAACAGCAATACAATTACTTGAATTAAAATTTTATAAACTAATTACATTTTGAGTTAATTTTTTTTTATATATTTATTTTTTATTTTTTTTTATTTATTTATTTTTTATTTTTTTTTTATTTTTTTTTTATTTTTTTATTTATTTTTTTTATTTTTGTTTTGTTTTTTTGGTATGTCTTATGAGAGGTGGAACAAATCGTAAAAAAAAATCAATTTCGCATACATAATCTCGAACTGCCTGCCACACTGATGTTCTAAGTTGGTTCCAGATAATGTGAAACACTAATCGACCGTCTTTGACTATGCCCACAAAACGTTCCAAAAATTCTTGAAAAGTCACGCGCTGAGCTGCATTTAAAAATGTCGTTTAATTGAAGAAAAAAAATATTAAAAACAAACACCAAAACCCGTTGACTAATCGATTTCGTTTAGATTCCGTTTAATTGAATTCGATAAGCCCAGCGTCAGCATAAGATTAAACAATTCTAATAGGATACATTTCCGATTTTGATGGAAATCTGATTTTAGAACAACGCTGATTGTGGACTATATTATTATTAATACTCAGTTTTGTAACCAAAGATTACTCGTTTCATTTTTTACATTTATTGCTTTATACTATATTTTCACTAATAAATCGAATGTCGAAGTACTAGGGGATTAACAAAAGTTCGGTCAGTTGGTGACTAGCAATTTGCTTTTGTTAAATCTAAAATTATCAAAAACTCTGCAATTACTTTATTAGTCTTCCTTTCAAGCTTAAGAACGTTCGGCTGAAATTACGACGAGAAAACGCAAGATAGCTGAGGATAGGTCAAACGAAATTCTACCACAAAAGCAAACAGAAATTCGTCATGTGATTCTCTTCGGGTTCCGACGTAATTTACAGCCAATAAAAATATTCAGTGAATGCCAAATTGCGTATGAAACGATTGCACCGTCTATAAAAACTATTCCTAAGTGGTGCCGAAAATTCCAGACCGCTCATTTTTTTCGTAGGGGACAAGCCCTGAGACGGTCGATCAAAATATTCTACTGATGACGTCACTGTAGCTTTGGTGAAGTCTAAAATTGATGAAGACCCACGATTAATACCAGAAATAAGTGCTAATAAAATTGGGCTTGAATGCCATTGACTGTATCGCGATTATTAAGTTATCATCTGAGATACAAGAAGAAATCTGGTGAGGCCCAAAAGAAGCTCGTGTGCATTTTGCTCAATTTTTATAAATTTCAATAAATTCGAAAACTTTAATAAAGTCGTTACTGTTGACGAATCTGGGTTCTATAAGAACGTTGCAGAAACCAAACAGTAATTCATCGCATGGAGCCCCAGAGGAGCAACCACCCGTAAAATTTAAGTAACAAAAATCAGCAGCAAAAGTAATGATGTCAGTGTACTTCACCCAATATAAAGTCGTAGCTGATATTCCACTGGAAAAGGGTAGGACGGTAACTGCAAAATGGTACACCGAAGATTGCTTACCAAAAGTTTCCAAAAATTTGTTGGAAAACAGGAAGAAAAAGGATTACTTTTTACATTATGACAACACGCCATCCCAAACTGCTGAAATAAAGAGTAATTTTATTGCGGTCTCAGGGATCGGAGAAATACGTCCAGCACCATATTCCACGGATATAGCAGCTTGTGATTTATGGTTCTTTCCAAAAATTAAAAAAAAAATTAAAAGGAAAGGTCTTTAATAGCAACAAGGAGATAATTAATGCGGTTTATGCCGAACTTAATCAGCTCAGAAAGCAATGTTTTGAAGACTTTTTTCAGAAGGGGATCTATATTCTTGAGAAATGCATTGAAATCAATGGCGTTTATGTAGAGAATGTAAAAAAGGACAAAAATTACGAATAAATACAGAAATAATTTTTTTTTACCGAACTTTTCTGAATCCCCTCGTACATATATAATATTATGACAACCTTTTTTCAATTTAAAAAAATTCCTATTTTCAAGAAGCTATTTAAATAAATTCTGAAATCAATAAGAAGGCTGCAATTATGCAGGGAACGCTGTAAGTTAAATAACCGTTTTTAAACTTTAAAGAAATTAACAACAAAAGAATCAAATGAAATTAGAAACGAACATAAGGAGACCCCAAAAAGCCCCCAATGAGTAACAAACACCAAGACGAGACGACAGAAAAGCAGTAAGAAATAAATAAATTTAAGAAAATATTAACATTTTAATCAGCAGAAACCAGAAAGCAGCAAGCAGATTTCCAAATAAAGACAACACAAAAATGTCAACTTTTTATAATAAAAAAAAAAATGATAAAATCGCACAAAAACAGATAGGACAGATATCTAGTAGGTAGGTACATATGTATGTAATGAAAGCAAGCAATAATTGTGTGTATGCGTGCGTGCTTGTATGTGTGTGTGTGTGTGTGTGTGCGTGTACTTTTTGTTGTTAACGTCGAAAAGAGTGTTGTTGACAATAATGAAAGTGATGGTAGTGATAACGTTGGTGACAAAGATGGTGATGATGTTGTTGAGGTTATTGTTGTTGTTGTTGTTGACGATAGTGACGGTGATGGTGATGGTGATGATGAGTTGATGGTATTTATATTGTTGGTATTCATATTGGAGTAGGTCTTATTGCGGAATATGTTGTTGTTGTTGGCATTGTTGTGTACGGTTAGGTGCGTGTTGTTGTAGATGGGTATATTTAGAAATCTGGATGAAATGGATTTGGGTAGTGTGGCGGTACGCTTCAAATTTGTTGTTATTGTTGTGGCATTGTTAATGTTTGTGCTAGTTCTTGTGCTTGTTGTTGTTGTTGTTGTTGCTATTGCTGTTGTAGGTATAATTGTTTTTGTTTTACTTGTCAAATGTTTATTTATTTTTATTGTTGCTGTTGTCGCTGTTGCTGTGGCAAGAGGTAACAACATCTCACCTGCTGGTAATCTCTCTTCCTCATCTTTGACAGCTGCTTTTGGGCGCAATTCGAATTTATTTACATTTTTTTTTTTTTTTTTGTTTTTTTTTTGTTGTAGATTTTGTGATGCAATACAAATGGTTGATGGGTTGGTTGGGTTCGGTGCAGCGATGGTACGCGTGATATAGTATGTATGTATATAATATAGAGGTATGCAAGCGTTTAGTTTACATATACATATATGCACATTGAGTGGTTTTTTTTTGTGGTTTCGATTGTCAGCGGTAAGTGATATGGGTACGCGAGATTTGTACATTTCCAAGTATCAATTGAGTCATAATTGATGCGCATTGTTGTTGTTCCAATATTTTCGATAATTTATTTTAATTTTTTTTTTTTTGTTTTTTTGTGCGATAATTGTTTAAATGAAATATGACAGCGAAAAAGAGAGCAGAGAAGAAAACACGATTATGTAGATTATGCAAAGTTGTTGTGTACATACATATATCTATTTGTATACATATATACATACACCCATATATGTATGTATATGCATTAAAATAATTTATGTCGTACATACAAATTGTAAATGCTTTTAAACCTACACCTACACCTACATACACATACATAAATACCTATTATGCAATAAATTAAGCAACAATTAGTCTATTTTAATTGCAGATCTCGCTTAGAAAAAAAAAAACAAAAAAAAAACAAAAAAAAAAAAAACAACAACAAAAACACCTTCACCCTCAACTAAGTTTAGTGCACTTCATCTAGGCGCGGCGAGGCGAGGCGAGTGCGCTCTTCAAAATTGTATCAAATTACCAACAAACTATAAACCATTGTATGTATGTATGTATGCATGTCTGTTTGTATGCCCTTCAAGTGGAAACACTTTCAAAACAATTCAAAATTTTCGATGAAAAGTGTTAAGTGGCTTTTGCTGCGGCTGTGGCTGCAATGATTTGTAGTGCCGCAGCTGATAGCGCGACCCTTGCACGCCAGCGCCTGTGGCAATAAAACGTTTTAAGCTGCTTACATTTTACGGGCCTTCCGACGACAGTTTTCACTCATCTCACCTACAAACAAAGTACTCGAGAGTCGTGAAAAGTGCAGCCAAATGTGTGTAGCTCACATAGCCAGGTATATAATGGGTGTTCTTTCAAACGTGCGATTTTCTATGAAGCAATACCTTTCGGCGTTGATCTTTTTTTTCGAAAGCCGCTGCTTGCTTTATACTCAGTTTCGTTTGTCTCTTCAGAATTTTGTTAGGTTAGGTAGATCGATCTGGCGTATTGGATTCACTTAGGTCGGACTGAGACCCATTGTGATGTAAATATTAAAAAAACCAGATAATCACGCTTCGTTGTCGAGCCATTTTAATTCTCTAACGAACCTCATTGGATCCACAACTTTGTCGTGGGCTATCTTCGACAGACCATCAAGCAGTAAGGTTCCAAAATTCCGAAAATAAGCACTGCCCAAAGCAAGGCAGTCGCTTAAGAGATTAGTTATAATTTTCTACTCTTCATCACACATGTAGCCACAGCAGCATCTTCTATAGGGTCACTCTCCACATGTCGGCCTTTCGGAACTGCTCTTACTTTGGACACTTCTTAAGGAGTGCATATCTCGTGTTCTCTTGTTATTCCATTTCGCCCAGGTGTGCCTAGATTTGCGACACCTTGACGTGACTTGAACATATGTAAATTCCTTGAGAATCAATTTTCAGGTGTCAAAAGGTACGAGGCATGACAATTAAGTAATGAGACTGATTATGTTGCCACCATTGTGGTAACACTGCGTCCTTGAAATTCCCTTACCCTTCTCCCGGCATTCTTCCCCTGTCCATTGATATACTCGCCATCGCTCTAGCTTGTTTAGTCCGCCTGCTGTGTCTTGCTGAGTGAACGTGTGTTCGTGTTGCTCGTCACGGAAATGGAAAAACAAAATCGAAACGAGCAAAAGTAGCATCGAATGACCGTCCCAGAAGACTGTTTGGAACAAGTTGAAAATGATCCCACGCTGACTGATCGAGTTATTACAGGCGATACGAGTTGGTATTTTCACGACGCCCCCGAAACTTAAATTTCAAAGCTTAATCGGTGGTCAAAGAAACCCACGACGAGCGTACTCGCGGACATCTCAGTCGAAGCGTTCCTTAAATTTTACGAAGCATGGAAAAGATGCTGGAATCGTTGCATAGCTGCCACGTTGTAGGGGATTTCAGAGTTGGCTAAACCGCATACTCCGAGTATGCAACGAAAATACTAATATCAGCACTATTGGAGCGTAGTAAAAAGGAAAATGACCCGAACGAGTCTGCCGGCCATGGCCTATAACAATTGAAATTGTGCCCATACACTTAGGATCTTTGTTTGCGGGATTACAAAATGAAACTCGTACAAGAATAGAAGCCGAACGAGTATCAAACTCGTCACACACGTTCGGTTAATGGGCCTAAAACGAAATGATCGCCGTTCCCGATTTTCACAAGAAAATTTTTTTCAACGCTGAAGCTCACTTTTGGTGGAAAAGGTATGTAAAAAACATAAATAACCCGCAATTATTCAGGCGCCGTTCCATCCATAAAATCAAGAGTACACCAACTTTGAGCAGAGGGAATCATTGATCCATATCTCTTCAAAAATTAAGCTGGCCATAATGTTGCATTCAGCGGAGAAGGCTACAGAGCCATGATTAAGGTTTTTTTTCGTGCCTGGATTAGGGGATGTTGTTGTGGACAGCTTTTGGCTCCCATGAAATGGCGCTCCTTGTCATACAAGCAACGAAAGAATCAATTCATTGAAGGAAACTTTTGGTGATCACATTATTTCGCATCCTGGCCTTTTGGCGTGACCTTAAAGATCGTGCCCTTTAACTCCGTTGGAATATTTCTTATGGGGTCATATGAAGTCGCTTATTTACACAGTAAGCCCGAGGCAATTGATGCCATAGCAGAGAACATTTGGCTTGGATTTATTGTTGCTACAAAAAGTACTCGAAAGTTGGATCTCTCGGCTGTAACTCATTCGGCAGTGACTTGCCCGAAATTAATTTTTAAACATAAAAACATTTAATCTTTTAAAAAAGCCAAATTATTGCCCATAACATGAAACTCTATGCGTTTTATGTCGCCTTGAAAACCACATGCTGAAAACGACACCCTTTTCAAACGTAGCCAACTATCTTGCTTGGTATTGAAGGCTGTTATATTGCATGCCCTGCAACATTTCATTAGTTTGGGACGCTTTGCCGAATGCCAGCTAGAGGCGGTTGTGCAACAAATGGAAAATGTCAGTATTATTTTGGCGTCAATCATGGAAATGAACAGTGGCAAATACTATTATTTAAATAGGCTAAAGGCATTTCCAATACTAAATATTTATATCGATTTCACTTTGGTGAAATACTAAGATAATTAGTTCGAGAACCATTTGTGCTCATGTCGAGTGGATATTTGTATGAACTTTAATTAAATTTTACACATTAATGGTGGTTTATCTGGTTTCACTATTAAATTTTAAATTTTTTTATTATTTGAGATGTTAAAACGACACAAAAAATAGTCGAAATTCAAAATGACTTCTGGAAAATGGCGCGTTCCGTCGGTCTCTGCGCGAAAAACATGACCCAACAACTGCAAGCCTACAGCCTCTTGTGGTCAACTGAAATCAAACATCGTTGTCATTATTTGAAGATCATGAAATTTTCTACGTCCTGAAACTCAACTGAAACAATTTTAACGTTAAATTTATTGCATAATGCTCATTAGAATTATAAAATTAATTTTTTGCTACTTTTTCCAATTCAATTACGTTAAAAATATATAAATATCTAAATTAATTTATTTAATTAAATTAAAATAAATTATTAATGCCAATCTTAGGTTCAAGACGTACAGAAAACTTTAAACATACATTGAAACAGTCTTTATATTAAAGAAATCGGACAGATAGATAAAGGCCGCTGCTGGAAGTTAGATCGGAAAACATGGTTTCGAGAAAACACCGTTCAAAGTTTTTTTGAAAGTCTCGCTGCGTGTCGTGAGACAGGTGTGTTCGAGAAGCTGCCATTTGAAAAATATCCATCATATTGCAAAATCCCTTTAAACACACATACTTAACATATATATGGCTTTCATTTTGTTGCGTAAAAAGAAAACAATGTTTTTATCCAAAAGCAGGTTAGGGTTCCCTTGGAGTTTCGAGAAAGCATTGAAGGCGAGGCAGGGCCAGGACGGCCATCAAAGAAATAATACTCCAAAATCGTCTATTGACAAATCGACACCTCACTGACCTTGTTGGAATATCGGAGGGATCAGTAAAAACCATTTTGAATGTCGATTTTTGACCACAGAAAATTAAAATCGTGATTGCTGTCATTTGCTCTGAAATTCTTGGAGAAACAGCATTACCATTTCACAGGAAACCGACTCTTGTCATGCCGAATCTGGCGTTTACTTCAGATTTAGCACCGTGCGCCTTTTGGCTATTCTCCAAACTCTAAGGCTCACACCAAAAACAACGTTTTGAGTCGATTGAAGAGATTCACTGCAGGATCGATAAGCATTTCAGAAGAGGCCATATTTGAAAGCGAAATCCATTTTGGGGTTTGCCATAACGAAGGTGTAAGTCCTCTTAAACCATCATTTTGTGTCACAGTGTAATCAAAATTGATGAAATATCGCATCCGTAACAAAAAACACCAACTATGATCCACTGTGTTTAAATTAGATTTAGTTGACCATCAAATCACTCAAGGTTAGTAGAGCGGCACGAATGATGAATATACCTGTAAAGGGTTTCAAAGCTGTGAACTGAGTAGGTAATTGATAAGGTGGTAAAGTTGGATCTCGATAAACAAAGTTCAAACTCTACAGATCGCTTTCTATACACACACTGCGGTACGCTGCAGAAGCGTGAGCGAATCTAATATCTGATGAGATGCAACTATAAGTTCTAGAGCATGAAGTTTTGGGAACGATTTGCAGAATATTGTTAAGGGATATGAACTAAACGCGATTTTTTTTTTATTAATACGATAAACATAACCCAGCTGGCTAGGTGATGTCGTAGGGATGGATATCACGTATCCGAAAATGTGAAATGTGTTTAAGGTGCTGTTTCTGTAATCATATAGAATTTTAGTTTCCGGCCAATCTAATCTGAAAGATGCTACACTGTGTGGAAGGCCAATTGTCGAAAAAGTCGAACAAATAATGGAAACAGTCGAGTCTGACCGTCATGTGTGCATTGTTTTGATTGCCACAGTAGCTAAAAATTGCATAACAAACAGTTTGGTAGCCCTTCAAAAAGGCTGGATACACAGAGAACGGGAGTTAAAGAGAAAAAAACCACTGCGAATCGATGCTGAATCGTGACAAACCGATCCATTTCTGAAACAGATGGTGACTGCTGAAGAAAAGTGTGTCACTTAGCAGCAAAATCAAACGGAAAAGAGCCATGGTGCAGGGGCAGTGAGTCGACACAAACATTCTCCAAGCGAAGAAAGATGGCCAGCAAACTTTTGTTTGGTGGGTTGCGCAAGGAAACAGTCACAAAGAACTACTCCACTACGACCAAACCCCGAAATCGGACCCATACTGTCAGCTATCGCACCATCTGTAGGAAGCAATTGTCCACCGTTGGTTAACAAAAGGGTAATTGTGTTTCATGACGACAATGCTAGATCACACACCTCCTTAGCGACAACCTCGCATCAACTGATTACCGTCTGTTCCGGGATATGGCGAATGATTTGGCTGGTGAAGAATTAACTTCTAAAGAATTCTTTAAAAATATATTGTGTTACAACATCTTTTCAATGTAGACAAGGGTTTCTACATAAGAGAGGTTATTTCTTACGGATAAATAAAGTATTTAATTTATGCAAAAATAATGGATTACTTTTTACTTGACCTAATATAATATGCAGTTCTATGAATAATCAAGGTTAGCCATTTACGTCGGTTAAATAGGTTTCCGGTGCATTTGCATACAATACATACATATCTAAATATCAATAATTATTATGCTGAAAACTATGCTTTACTCTTAATTACGCTGCAATAATAATAGAAGTTAGCTATATATGTATATATATATATAAATGTAAATATATGAAAATGTTAATACTTTTAATTAGCAGCTACATACAAACATTATTTAGGAATTTTTTTTTTATTTTAGCAAATATTTGTAGCGCATACCAATATATATATATGTAAATATGTAAATTCATATATATATATTTAGCATTATAAATTTAACTGTAAATAAACTTAGCATTATTAGTATGTACAAATACAATAATTTACTGCATGTAAATATAATAGTAGGCACATACATACATACTCGCATAAATGTAATAAATTATCTACATAAAACAAAACAAACCTTTCATCTGCATAAAATTCAAATTATCAATGGCTCGCACCAGAGCAGCATCGTCTAATGTCAAATCCACAATTGGTGATACACGCGGAGCGGCATTTGTCACCTCCTGATGCCAGGTCATGTCTGTGTTGGCAACGCGATTAATTAACATGGAGCCAACCTGTGGGAATGGATGTTGAAAGGCAGAAGAGAAAGGAGAAGAATAAGTGAAAGCTCGTATAATTAGAAATAATACATATATATACATACAAATATATATATATGTATATGTGTATTTATGCGAAAGTCAAATATACATTTTTAATACAAAAAAAAAATATGGTTTGCAGGCCCCATTAGAGAATATCTGAGCTCAGTGGCGCAATACTCGTTAAAACGGAAAGCTCACACATAAATACATACATATATATGTACATACATACAAGCGAAGTTATGTAAATATGAAATTATTACAAATATATTTGTGTATGTCATATACATACATAATTTAGTAGCAACTAATAAGCCGCCTACTCATATACTCACTTGTAAAAAGGCAGCACTGTCCGTCTCTTTCAGCGCCTCAATGCAGAATTGTATTAGTCCAGTGGTTTGCTGCAATTTGCCCGTACAATTTGATTGTTGATCCTGCGCGGGGAATATGAGGAAATAAGAATATAGAAAATATGGAAAATCAGTTAGAGCTTCAAAAAAAAAAAATGAAATTATTTAAAAATTTATTTAAGGTTTTTCAAAGAACATGGAAATTTACAGAAGTAATCTCAAAGACATTTCCAGTTAGATAATGATTTTTAGAGCCGCTGTTCCAAAGTCTCGTTAAGCATGTTATTAAAATTTACGCAGAGGAGACCTTTCTCAAAGATGTTTTTTTTTGTTTTTTTTTTTTGAATGTGGTTTTCAGGAAGATCAGGGTTAAGGAGGGACCTAAAGTTTATACTAAGCCGCCTCCGAACGGCTGATGATTTTTTTATTGATTAGCCTTTCATTTCATTTCATGTCAGAAATACGCTCGGAGGGGTGGGCATTCCCTGCCGAGCAGCGACCGCATTTTAAATTTAATTTCTTAATTAAATTAGTTTTCCATAGGTTTTTGATGTTGGTGGCACTGGGAAATGAACCCGAGCATTCCAAATGGCAGTACGCAATGATAACCACTCGGCTACCGCTGTCGCCAAGGTGCCAATGGTCTCGGGATTATCTGTGTAGCCATCAAACCACATATAACCTCACAAAAAAAAAGTCCAGCGGTGTTAAGCCGCACGTTCGTGGAGACCGCTCCGGAGGCTTAGGATACAAGATGCTGTGCACACAAAAAGTTTCCTTTGACTGTTTCTTTGGTTGTAAGGCAAGTAGTGCCATCTTGTTGGAACGAAAGGTCATCCACATAAGGCATCCTTCAATGCACTGTAGCCTCCTACACTGCATGTAACGTTATGGCCAGCTTCATTTATGAAGAAATATGGAACAATGACTCCCTCTGCCACACCAATGTGTGGCTTTTCGAGGATGTCGGTAGAGGATGTGGATTATCATCACTCCAAATGCGACAACTTTTTTAATTAACGTACACATTTAACCAAAAATGAGCTGCGTAGCTGAAAGATTTTTTTTTAAAGTTGCAGGGAACTTGCGGCACGCCTGATGGTCCTCCGGCATCATTTCTTTCAAGAGTTGGATTTTGTATGTCCCAAACAAAATTCTTTCCACAAAATCTTTCATAAAGTGGATAGACACAGCTCCAATTGATTGATGGTGGATGGGATCATTCGGATTTTCTACGTAACTTTGCTACACAGCAGCAATAGCGCCTCTGACGGGATATTGAACGCAGGGCGCGATGCACGATTTGCAAACGTTATTCTGGTGTGAGTGTTTTGATTATGGAAAGGCAAACCCAACTGATTATACGAGGTGTGACAATTAAGTAATGATAGTATTAAGTAACCCTACGACTTTGAAATACCCTTTTCCTGCTCCTTTCCATTGATATGTTTGTCATCACTCTAGCTTGTTTAGTTCTCCTGCTGTGTCGTGTTGAGTAAACTCGTGTTCCTGGTGCACGTCACGGAAACGAAAAAACGAAATCGATTAATTGTGGAAGATGAAAGTTTTTCAATACGACCAGGAAAATAAAATTCAATGCTCAGAATAGTTGTCTCCGCACGCCCCCCGCCTGGAAAAAGCTACCATGAGCAAGTCGAAGGTGAAAACGATGATTATTGCCTTTTTGATAGCCGTGGAATCGTCTACGAAGAATTTCTTTCACCGAGGCAAACCGTAAATCCAGTCTACTATCGCCAAGTGCTTGAAAGATTGACAAAACGAGACAACAGGGTGCGCCCAGACATCGCTGGTAACTGGATCTTTCATCATGACTTCGCGACGTGCCACCAAGCCCTTAGCGTCTCCTAGTGTTTGGTCTCTAAAGGGACCGCCGTGTTGCAACAATCGCCTTATTCGCCTGATATTTCACCCTGTGACTTCTTTGTTCCGTAGAACGAAATCGGTGGTCAAAGGAACCCATTTCGAGTCGATTGAGGACATCGGCCGTGACATCTCACTCGAAGCGGTCCAGAAATGTTAGAAAGCATAGAAAATGCGCTAGAATCGTTGTATAGCTGCCCAAGGAAACTACTTTGATGGGGATGGCAGATTAGAAGAATAATTTTTAATTATACGGTTTTTATGGAATCAGACACATTGCATAATTGTCACTCCTCCTAAATCAAAAAATAGCTGTGACCAACGTCGAAAAAATCACACGGGCTTCTTACAGACCTTCTTTCCACATTCAATGCTTTTCTAAGCGGTCTTCGAACGGCTAAAGTTTTTTATCAGGAGCTTCTAATTTCATATCGGAATTGTTCTCGGTCCCATTCGAGAACCCAAAACTATTCACAGAGCGACTGAGGTGGTCAAGAACACAATTTTTACATTGCGGCCGTTTTTATGCTCAGCGGGGTATTTTATAATGGAGTCTTTTTCAAACAACAGATATCTAGGATGCTCAACAAAGAATCCTCGGTAGTTTTCTCTATTCACAGCACGGCTTTTGGTGGGTATTCCAATTCAGTTCAATGTTTACATGTTCATTGCAATAGAGTGTCGACCTTCCCACTCTTCTGCTTCCGCCTCCGGAAACTCCATCGAAAACTTTCAAAACAGGTTTGCTTTTGTCCATCCTAACGAAATAATCTAGCCAAGTGAAAATTCTTAATAACACGTCGAGTCTGGTCTTAATCCAAGCCTCCAATGGAGTAACGGCCTTCTTCGTTCTCTGCTTGCACCAGCGGGTACCGCATTGGGTATGTCATTGTTCTATCATCTACGGTATTTGGCGTAACACATAGTTGTTCTTCTTCGTAGTTATTGCTTACGCTATTATAGTCCATTCTTAGAGAACTATATATCTTCCTCAAGAGACTCCTAAAGCCAGCTGATTGGATGGCTCTAGTTGGGGTCGCTCTAGTTGTTGTTTTTCAACGATTAATCGTAAAAATATTCTCTAAATTAGTTGCTCGGGAGTGTTGAGGAGACGAGACTGTCGCAGGAATTATTTGACTTTAGTCGGTTCTTAAGCCAGGGTAGACTTAATGCCACTAAATTCTAGAATCTTTCAGGTTCCATATTATCGTTCGAGCTACCATCTGCACCTTTTCAGCTTGATGGGGCTATTGCAACTTCATTACCATTGTTTTAGCCACAGCCAACGATTAGGGCTTATGAAGCCATGTGGTGTATGGTATTAGATGGAAGTGTTGAAAGTATTTCAGTGCCTCTCAACTGAGAGCGGCCAGACAGGATATACTTACGGTTCAGACATGAATGCTTACGATTTCCGATTTTCTGTTTGGTGGCGAGCCAAAATGATAACGCGAAACCCTTGGGAGTTTGTTGTTCAACACATAAGAAATTTGCTTCAATGAAACACAAAAAAAATGTTACTCAAACCGCAGAAAAGTGGCAGAATAGATAGATACTTCACAGCACGGAAAGAACCCCAGATTCTGACTTAACTATGATGTGTGCGCTCTCACTACTGGGAACTTACATACTCATATCATTCATGTAAAGTCATCTGCAATTTCAGGCTACCCAATAAGAATCATAAGAACCAATTAACTTTTTACACAACGGTATATTACGCGCTCTTAATTAAGTTCGTACTCACCTTTAATATTCTGATTTTCGTATCCTTATCCATGCGTATGGCCTCGAGTAGATATTCGCGTCGGTCGTGTATTGCTTGTATTAAGGCTTCACATTGGGCTGTCACCAGTCTTTCGAATTCCATGCAGGACTCCTTAGATTTTCCAACAACGACATATAGATGATAATAATTAAAGAGAAGAGTGAAATAGTAAGTAAAAATGGCAAGGTGTGTGAGTATGAGAATTTAATTAAAATTAGATGAATATACATATATGTTTGTACGCAAGTAATTTGCAGTTTTCTTATTTCCCATTTTCTCGCATTCTATCTTGTTCGCTCTCTTTACTTTAGCTAAGATTAACTGGCAGAGTGTGTTAAGGTAAACATAAAATTGTTAATAACTCCTTTATTCTCGCGCTCTCTAGAACCCCACCCAGCCAAAATTACGGGTACCCTATTGAAGCATGTGATATCTGCTGAAAATGGATCTTGGAATAATCCGAAATTGTCTAATAAACTGGTTGCGATGTGAGTTACCGCAGAGCTACCTACGAGGGTTGCCTTATGTATTTCGGAAGTAGAGAACGAAAACGAAAAATAATCATCGAAAATCGATTGATGGTTTTTCAAAATTTTCTGCAATAAGATCTATAGACTCTATAACTCCAAAAAATGTGTTCTGAACGCGTCAACCGTCACTTCGGCTGTTGGAAAAAGGTGAGCCATCACTTTTTTTAACGTACAGAAACAAAAAGGAGTTGTTTGTTGCCAAGTGAGTACTGCAAGATGAATGACTCATTTGCTTTCAGTCTTCGAAAATGCAGTTGTGATTCGCCTTCGGCGATCTTGAAGTATCAGTTTGCGCACAGCCCAATAGATTCCCGAACAACAACTGATCTTCAAAGGCCTTCACAAACTTCATCTTGAAGTGATCTACAAACTCAAATGAGTTCTCCATACTAACGATAAACAATGGTCCTTGATGGAGCTTCATGGTCAAAAATTGAATGAAGTTCTTGCTAAGTTAATCCACGTCGAAAGTTGTTAAAAATATTAGCGCGAAAATTTTCGACCGAACCCCAGATAGTTTGGGTTATTGACGTAGCCATCGACGTGGAAATGGGCCTCAACAGCCAAGTTGATTTTACGATGAAATTTCAGCTCATTTTCATGCATTTCAAGAACCCAATCAGCAAAGACACGGCGTTGTGGATGATTTTTAACTGAACTTTATAAGAGTTAAGTCTAAAGTCTTTACAGGTCTGTAGGCCTACATAGCACAGAGTACGCCATGGAGTACCAAAGACTGATCTCATTCGAAACTGTTCTCTAAGCATTACCCCCTGGAGTATCTAAAGGAAATTTATTTTCGAAATATTTTGCAGAGAGCTGTACTTCTATCAACTTAACCTTTACAAACAAATGTGGATTATCATTCAATCCTTCGATTTTCTGATATACAAATAATATTTTTTGAAATTATAATTTCGTCAGGTCGTAGGCGGAGTAGATACCGCCAACGGATAGCCGCTGAACCGATAATGGGATACTATTTTTTCCTTTTTATCAGACTCAATTTAATGCTACTTTCATTGATTATCAAAACTTAACTCAACTCCGTAGAGATTCTGTTCGTTAAAACACGAGTAAGTATCGGTTAACCATATGCTAAGTTTGGAACTGATCCATAGGTGCATTACAGAAGACCTATTATGAAGTACTCAAAACTGGAACAAATTCTCTAGTGGTCCGCATGGTTACTTATTATATGCATTAGCCGGAGGACTACATCTGCCGAAAAGGGGTTTACTGGGTTGGTTGCGGTGGCGAATATGCGCAATTAAAAAGTTCTGTCATAAATGGCGTAATTCTTTTTTTTTTATAAACGCGAGTTTCTTAAAGAAATCTCTATAGAAATTTTGGCTTAACGTTAATAGCCTTTTTAGAAAGAGAGAGAGAGTGAGAGAGAGAGTGAACAAAGGGGAGAGTTAAGCTAAAAATTAATAAAAACCGTTAATGTTTAACGCTGCGACCAAACTCACTTTTCAAACACTCGAAAACTTGTTACTGTCGCGCCGAAGTGCCCTCAAGCATTTCAAGCATTTCATGTTTTTCTGATTTCCTAGCAAGGAGGACACAAGCGAAGAATTTGAGAGATTAAAAAATGTGTATGCATGTATGCGTGTGGCAACTCTTGGCGCGGAACTCATTAAAGGCAAAGCGTTTTTCTATTTTAATTTATTTTTCTTTTCGCCTTTTTTTGCGTACAAAAAATTCATTGTCATAGTTTCGTTTGCGTAAAATGCACGCTCCTCCCGCTTACTCTCTCCCCCCGCTCACTCTCTCTACTACTTAGTTTACATTAAAAGCCTCGCTTCACAATCGCCCATCGCCTCAAGCAGCACTCACTTACCGTGACTTTGTCACTCATGCCTTTTAATCGCTGTATAAATTCTGTGGTGGAACGTGCCTTCTCCGACAACTGCTGCAAATTATGTGAGAGTTCCGTCTGCAAATAAAAAGATAAGAGTAGGAAAAGTTATTAGTTAAGGATATTTGTGTGTGTGTGTGTGTGTGTGCGAGCGCGAAATGAGGAAGCTATTTTCAAAGACAAACATAAAAAACAGTGTAAAGTTTTAGTTTCAGTTTCGTGCACATAAATGACAACATTGAAAAATTGCGCGAAGGATGAAAAATGCTGCAGCGGGTAAATGGAAAGCTGGAATTCTTTAAACGCGCCCCAGCATCAGCTTCAGCAATGAAATTGAATGTACAATCAAAATTTTTAACTTTATATTGCATAAATTTGCACGATCAGACATAATAAGAGATTAAAAAAATATAGAGACGGTAAAGGCGTTTACGCTAGAGACCTCAAGAGCTCTTTTATTTCATGTTTTTATAATCAAAGTTGCCGTTTCAGTACCATAAGATGGCGGATCTGTAGATAAGTCTAAATTTGTAAGAATTTTTTTTAATATCTATTTTTATCTTATATTTTTACGACCCACTGTATGTCCGAAGAAAAAATGCTGCGACCAATGAATTATTTTAAAAAATATTTGTGACAAGGCTGAAAGAGTGAGACGAACTCCCGTGTTATAGCACGGCTTCGGAGGGGTCATTCACAAAAATTGACAGATCTACAGTAACTACCTTCCCAGAGCGGAGTAGTTTTACACCGGCAAAAAAAGAAAAAGCACCGTACATTGCAGACAACGAGCTCGTGAGCTGCTTCGAGACACCCGAGAGGCCCTGGTGCAACTTAGGCAGGTTAAACTCCTACCTATCCAGACTAGATCCCAGCATACCCAACGTATGCCCTGCCTGTGGAGAGTCTCCGCGCGACACTAATCACCTCTGCACATGCCCCCTTAAGCCGATACATCTAGCCCTCTCTTTCTCTGGTTCAGTCTCGTCGAAACAGCACGTTTCTTGGACCTCTCATTAGATGACCTCGGCGGCTTTGACTGATTAAATATTTCCCTAAGCGGGGCTAGTGAGCCGCTACAACAACAAAAACAGCTGGCTTGAATATTTATAAGAGCGGGGAGTGGTACCTTAGCAAACTATCTGCCGTCCTCAAGTGCCTGGGGAGTACCACCTCACCAAGATCTTTCCAAAAGGTGAGTAGTTTCTACCGCCTCTAAGTGCTTGAATATTCGTAATGGCAGGGAGTAAGTAGCAAGTCACCATAACCTTCCTATAAGTGGTGTTGCATCACAACAAGACTCTCCTGGAAGGATAATAGTTTCTACCTGCTCTAAGTGCCTGAATATTCATAAAAGTGGCCAGTGGCACTTCACGAGGGCCCTCCTAGAAGGTGATTAGTTCCTGTCGCCTCTAAGTGCCTGAAAAGACGGAGAGCAGGACCTTACGAAGACCTTACCAGAAGGACAAGTAGAGACAGGAAAGAGCACCTCACTACGACCCCAGCACACGGGGAACAGTTCAACACTGGCTCTATGCAGCTCCTTTCTTTCTTCTCATACTTAAAAAATCACATACTATCTGACCTACTTGGACAAATGCTAACAGTCCCTCCAAATTCTAACAAGCGACTGATCCTGTTCTTAGCTTGAGGCTGCAGATGCTTTCTTAATCTGTTGTCAACTTCATTTCGCTTTATTTACTCTACTTTTATATATAAAACATTTTTAACCGATGCAACGATTTTCAGCCGAGCTCCTTTCCCAAATTTGTGGTGAGCGTTTTGATGTTTTTTCAACAAATGGAGGAATTTACAGTTTATTACAAGCCGCCTCCGGACGACCGATGGACGGAGCTTTTATTTCACGTCAGAAATACACTCGGAGGTCTTGACATTCCTGGCTGAGGGGCGACCGCAATTATAAAAATTAGTTTTCTATAATTTTTTATATTGGTCGGACTAGCTGATGTTGATTTGATGTCATTGTGATGATGTATTGAGGATGAAATTATGGCTTTTCGAGTCATTGTTATTGTTATTGTGCGAGCTCCAAAGCGCAGACTGTAGACTCTTCCCAAGGGTTTGTTGAGGATTTTACCTGAATTATAAATTTTTATCAGACATGCGTACGCATTTCGATAAGTCTGAGAGAGGCGCAGCTCCTCTTCGTGTATTTTAAGGCTGACTATTATAGACCGAAAAAACAGGCACTCAATGTCTGAATTTGGTATCCCCGCAGAACTTATTCGGCCCTGAATATTGAGGCTGGCTGATATCTCCGTTGTATCAGAAAACTGATCTTCCAAGCAATACTTTTTCTAAAGACTAGTTTTGGAAATTGGAATTCGTATTTAGATTTCCAAATGACTGAAATTTCCAAACAAATAAATTTATGTATAGCGTTTTTACGATTAAAAAAGGTAAAAATGCTACAAGATCAAGGGAAAAAAATCAAAAAAATGTGTATGCCTAGAATGCTGTAAATCTGCGCCGGATCCAGAAGTGGTTTGCTCGATACAGTTTCGAAAATTTTGATCTAAAACATGAATATTGTTCGAAGGCCCTTCACCTCGTTCACAAACGACTTTAAAGCTTGAAGCGACGGTGGACAAAGTGCTGATTATATGGTAAAGTTGTAAAGGAGTTGTTCATTATAATTCAAGGAAAGTTCTTAAAAAAAGGAGCCCCGAATTGAGCAATAGAAAATGGGTTTCATCAAGCCAACGCCAGATCGTTAATCTTCAATGACCGGGAGATAATCGATAGAACTTGATTGGAAATTCTTCATGACTGGACCTTGCACTATCTGACTATCAACTGCATCGTTTGCTGGTAAACCCCCTTAATGGTAAAACAAAAAGTGTGGTCCATCGAAGAACCGTTGAAAAATTGACTCTAATCTAAATAATAATAAATAATTGACTCGAGCTGGTGGAATTATGAAATCTTCTCCCAAAAATCTGAAATGCTTATAAATAATAATGATCAATATGAACTCGATTCAAATAAATTTTCAATAAAAAAAATTGTATTCAAAGCTCCATACTATGGACTACTGTTTGGCTTCTGGATCGTACTTATAGAACCAAGATTCGTCAACAGTAACGACTTTACTAAAGTTGCTAGACCGACCATTTTCGAATTTGTTAAGGAAAAATTTTGCAAAATGCACTCGAACCTCTTTTGGGTCCTGCTTTCTTTTCATATACAGCCATGGCATTCAAGCCTAATTCTTTAGCAATTTTCTTCGTTCTTGTCGTGGGTCTTCGTAATTTTGGACTTTACCAAAGCTACAGTGACGCCATCAGTGGAAGATTTTGGTCGACCATCTCAGGGCTCGTCCTCTGTGGAAAAATGTCTGGTCTGGAGTCTTCGGAGCCACTTAGAAATAGTACTTAAAGACGCTGCAATCGTTCCATACGCAATTTGGCATTTACTGAATATTTGTATTGACTGTAAATTAAGGCGAAACCCGAAGAGAATCAGATGGCAAATTTCTATTTGCTTTGGTGGTGGATTTTCGTCTGACCTATCCTCATCTATCTGGCGTTTCCTCGTCTCAATTTTAGTCGATGGTTTTAAAATTTGAAAAAGAGTCTAATGAAGTAATTGCAAAGGATTTGGTACTTTTAGATTCAACAAAAACAAATTGAAAGTCACCAAACTGACCGTACTTTGGTTAAGACCCTCGTATTTATTAATATTTGCTCCCACCTCTAGAACAGTTTGAGAGACCTATGAGCATAAAAATGTTCTAGAATATTACGCTTCTGAAAATTTTTCAATGCTTTTTTTTTGGAACAAAACCTTTATTCGAAGAACTAGAAAAGAAAATGAGTCATTATATGGATCTTGCTTACTTTAGTAATAAAAAACTGTCAACAATTTGTTACTGAAGAAAACAAAAACTGTAATCTGAGCGAGAATAATTCTCAAAATTTTGAAACGATAAATTACTTTATCTTCGGCAACACACAGTCGCAGCCGCACATGTTGCACCGCGCCATATCGTTACTCCATTACACCATTTTATTTATTACCATGTTGCAACACGTCAATAACACAGCCACTACTAATCCAAAATTGTTCGTACGCACGGTGTTGGAGGCAACAAAGGTATGCGAGGTATGAGTAGTAAATATTTACAAACAAAACAAAACCTACAAAGGTCGTAGAGCCAGTGGCAACCCGTGCCAGGTATGTTATAGATGTCTGCATGCCACTAGCAAGTAACAGGCAAATACAAAATGTAAAAACCAATAAAGCCAGCAGTCACAGTCAGAGTCATGTAAACAGTTAGATTACTTGCATATACATATATGTATGTGGACAGACACCCATACATAAATACAGCTGTAAAGGTATTACAATGCAATAAATGCCCGAAAGCACAAGTATCACTCTGACATACGTTTTTAGATAGATGAAAGCAAGCTGGAGGGCCGCTGACAGTTCCTGTTATTGCCACGGCTGCAGTCGGATGTGTTGCAGATGAACAGCAGCACAATGACAAACAGACAGCCAGCCAGCCAACCAGCCAGCCGACCGGCAGGACGGTCGCTCATTTGGTCGGCTATCAGGAAGACACAACGACCCTGTGTTGTGTGGAATAAAGCGGTTACATCTAGGAATGAAAGTTTGGAATTTACTTCATTTAATTTGAATAGGTCGTGTGGCGCATAATAGCCGGCGAGCAGTCAAGCAAACAAATAGTGTATTTATGAATGTATGTGCATACATACATACATACATACATATGTCCGTCTGTAAAGGGAAAGAATTGTTTTCAACAGCTGCCACAGCGCAACAAACAACACCGTTACACGCCAGCAGTAGGCAGTAGGCAGTAGGCGTTGAAAGGTACGCAAAAGCATATGGATTATAACCACCCACTCGTACTCGTACTCGCACTCGCACTCGTACTCGCACTCGCACTCGGCAAAGTGATGGCAGTACGTATACGCAACAGTAGAGCCAGAGGTGGTGAGCTTGAACTGTAATTGGAGTACGGAAGACGGACAAAAAGGCATTTGCACTGAAGATGGCTGCTGCTAATTTACCTGCAAGAGCATTAATTT